GAGGAGTGATTTCTAACAAAAATTGGATTATTTTGAAGGGTACCATAAAATCACAAAGTTGGTGTTCGGTGTGATTTTCTAGCAGTAAGCGGCTGGATGATACAATCTTGTGCTATTCAAGTAGCCCGGTCAATGCAGCCCAAAAATTCAGACTTAGTAAGGGATTTTGTCGCGTTGAGATCTAACTATTTGGCTATCCTAACCCGATATGCTTGATTAACTCGGGCCCGCTAAAAATGTTCTCATTCAGTCTGCTGACTTGTAGAAGACTTGCATGTGAAGAGTTGGTGATGTCAAAGTAGTGTCCATTACGCGCTATAGTCTGAAAAAAAATCTGTTTGAGGTTCTGTATCACAGCACGAATGCGTTTCTGGTAGCCAGTGTCAGCCTTCGTATCGCTAAAGAAGTCATCGTTGTATGTCCCGTCGACGGCGGCTTTGGTGAGAGCCTGGCATATTTGGATGGGGATGGCTAGAAATTGGTGTTGTTCTGTGCTATCAGCCTGGCGATGGCCTAGCTTTTGGGGTTCAGCGTGACAAGCAGCAGACTTAAGTTGGATCTTGTCCACAAGACTCCGGAGTTCCACTGCGATCTGGACAAGAAGTACTTTGCTCAGTCGCTCTCTCAACGGCACGATGCCGAGGCTGGACTCGGGCAGCGTGTGTCATATGCCTTTAGAAAAGAAATGGGTTCCCTCTTCGTCACGATTTCAAAGTGCCCCGGATCCAGTTCCTGAATCTCTATTGTTGAGAATGTGCCATCTAAGACAGAACTCTATATTGAGATTTCTAGCGAGCGAGAGGTATATGGCTTCGCTGTCAGATCCTGGACTCAGAGTGTCAGGCTTCGTGATCACACCAAGCATTCGAGTTCCGGTTTTGTCGGTAGTTCGGGCGAGCTTCAGTAAAATCTGCTTGGCATGATCGTTCTTTGCGGATATAACTGCGAAGACGATGTTCGTGGGCTCTTTCATGTATGAATTGACGAAATCTTGTACAAGGTAGATACCAGCGGCAGATTGCTGCTTTGTCTATAAATGGTAATTCCTGGCACTCCAATCCGCAAGAGATCTCTCGAAAAATCTCGACCAAGTCTACCAATAATCATGGCTGTCTCTGCACTCTTGATTGATGTTGGTAGTGTAATGAAGCTGTGAAGCGTCTCACGGAAACTGCTAAGAGATCTACGCTCTACTTCGCTACACAAACGATTAGGGACGATGGAGGTGCTGACGCCCATTTCTGATGTCTTGCGTAAGACTAAATCGGCTGGAAAACGAGTGAAGAAGTTTCTATTGACCGGAAAAGAGACTCCGGAGATAGGTTCAAGGGCAGAACCTTTGCCGGAAGACTGATCGCCGCAAACGATGATCTGGGGTAGAGAGACATAATGGTCG